CTCGCTGCTAAGAGGCTGGGCGCACGAAAGGTACATGTACCCTCCTCTACGGTACCACATACGTGGAGGTCAATCAAACGTTTTTGACTAAGGTGTATTACCATGAGACATCGAAGAAAATGCCGTCTTTCTCGCTTGACACGCTGCCTATCCTTGGTTTCAAATCAGGTTTGTCGATGAAATATAGGCTCTATGCACCTACAGTAGACGTTGGTGGTGGAGACAACAACTGGCTATGCTTGATCAATTCTAATTATTGCCACCATGATGCGAGAAGCAAACGACACAAGACCCCACTTCTTTGATCAAGGCGAAACATGTTGCTTGGCGCAAATAACGTCGCACTCGTGCGTATTTCCGTGTACCGTAGTACATTGACATTGATGGGGGGTAGACGTTGGCCGTCCTTCACCAAGGCGAGAGCCAGAGGCCATGGGTGCCCGTACATAGGCAGGGTCGAAGTAAGGAGGCAGCCCCATTGCTCCTCATTTCACTAGCTACCGACGTTGGACGTAAGGAAATCGCGATGGATGCTCAACCATGATCAAGGCAGCTCGGCTTGCTTACAATTACCAGATTTTCTGATTCTCACCTTGGTGTCTCAAGCAAGGGACGGATTGACCGCTTGAGGAGTTGGCTCCCCCCGTCCTATTCAGACCTCTACCTTGCGGCAGCAATCAGGGAAAGCAGATGACAATAGGCTGCAAGGTAGTCCGAGTCAGACGACCGTGATGCACCAAGCTGCAATTGAACTCGCTGACGAATGAATGCCTTCCCCTCCCTTGTTTGCTTCTTGGAATCAATCTTGACACGGACTGATGCCGTATCAAGGCACGAACGCCCGAAACGCGCTGGTATTCGTGGTGGAGAGGACAAGGTGCACGGGGTTGACGAGAAGGCAGAGAGGCGAGCGAGAATCGCGGCCGCTCTCCGCAGGTGCTGACAACGACACCTTTCGTTTGGACGTTGTTTCGCCGCTTGCCAATAGCTCGTCCTTTTCGCACTGTTGAGCCACCACTTTGTGGGGTAAGGCATCAACATTCGAATTTCGAGGACCTCCACACATGACTCTCACCAGTAGTGTATGGCTTCTCCCTCGGTGAAGTCACATTGGTTTTCTATAGGTGGGCTCTCCTCGTCATTGTCTAATGGTTTTTCGATCGCCTCACTCATGGGCCGTTCACATCGCGCCCGGGATGTCGAATTCAACACGCACGTCGACATACCAGCATTATCTTTCCTTCGGCAGCGCTTTTGGTGTTGAAATGCTTCTAAGACCGCACGCCATCATTTTATCTCCCCCCTGGGTTTTCGTCGCTTGGCAACGACGTTGTAAAACAAGCCGCCCCCCC